ATCACTGGCATTGCTAAATTTTACACAGAATTTGATATTCAGTGGTGGCCTTGTCGCTGTCATGTGTTTAGCAGGTGCTGAAATACAGAAAGGTCAGTGAAATTATTTAGTTCCGGCTGTGAAATCTCATCGATACACATGCGCGACTGATGCATGTATATATCAGCTCCAACTTCTTTTTTACACACATAACTGATACATTGTTAGCACCGTTAATTTGTTTTTCCACTGTTTATACATTTGCATCGGCGCATGTACGTGACTGGCACATTAACGCCGTTGGTCTCTTCACATGTATTAGTTTGGTTGCGACCTTAAAAATTTGTATTTCGGGCTAGTGTGCGTGCCCTCTGTGTATCTGTATGAGTCTGTAATTGTCGGAACACCTAGTTATACATACATACTTACTTGAAATTACATACACAAACTAAAATTATACGACGCAGAGGGAAACAGAGGTAATGATGAAGAATGAAGTAACGAGATTCTGAGGAGGCGAAGCTGAATCCCGGAGATGGGAAGGAGTGTTTTTATACCCTGGTGGCCGCAGATTATAAAGATTGCAAAACTGTAGCGGGGTTAGGATGTTCAAACATTGAATTGGGGAAGAAAACTGTAAATCATTATGCGAAATATGTGACAATTCCGGCAGTCTCTATAAATTCGCATCGGCACTTTTATGCCACTGGTGTATAAAAATTTCAGACTTTTCTTCTTTGCTTTAGTATCACTGTCCCTTTTTTTTCTTGCATTTCTTTTACCGCTTCGATTTAACTGTTCATTTTGGTGATAATTTTCAAATCTACCAATTTTTTACAGGTACGATGAATGTCGGCGATTTGATCCTGGCGAATACTTTGTTATTTCAATTGTCCGTACCATTAAATTTTCTTGGGTCAGTGTATCGAGAAGTAAAACAGGGATTGGTGGATATGCAGCTCATGTTTTCGTTGCTCTATCTCAAGAGCAATATCATTGTAAGTCCCCGAAATTTTACTCGAAAATTAACTAATTTCAACTAAGTTTTGCTTGATTTTCTATTTTATTTGGCTTTCTTGATCCTATTTTTTTAGACAAATTTTCTTATTTGATTTTTGGCCATGTATAATATTTTTATAAAATTTCGACCTCGAATTCTTTGAGTCTAGTTTCGAGCCTCTGCAGCAAAAAAGATTGGGGTAAGTGCCCGGGTCATAGTTTTTTATTGAATTGAGTTTAATAAATGTAAATTTGGGTGCGACGTTGCATGAAAAGGTTAAAGATGCACAAGAGCAGGCCACCATATGCCTTAAGATTACTTTTTGATTAGCTAATTACTGTACCTGAAATTTTTAAGTAAGTGAATTACCGTAGGAAAAGTATTTGCGAAAGTCGTTTTGCGAAGAAGTGATGCGCATCAAATTTAGTTCCTAGTAGGCATCATTTTGTTGCTAGGTTTCGAAAATTTCCTCACCATATTTGTTTTGCAGGAAAAACCAAACGCGCCGAGCTTAAAAATTAGTATGACCGATTCGTCGATTTCGTTCAGAAATGTCACTTTTGGTTATCTTCCCGGACAGCATATACTGAAAGATCTCAATATGGATATTCCGGCTGGCAAAAAAGTTGCTTTTTTCCTAAATTTTAGGATCTTTTTAAGTACTTTGATACTTCTTTAACAGCTGCTGCTCCATCGTTACGTTTACGATGAGCGTGGAATCGAAGCCTAACCATCAAGTAATGCAGCATTTGTAAAAGCAGCTGAAAAAATTACACAGCTGAAGGAACACACTGCTATCTATAGTTAAACCAAGTATAAGTGTAT